CCTGTTGGTAGATTATTAAGAAGCCCTAACCTTATTAGTTGATGAGCAGGAAAAGAGGATTACCAAGCACAGAATTGGATAGAGTTGCTGAATTCCAATGATGGTTAAATGCTCAATTGAAATAGATCTGCTCTTCCAAAGTCAAGGCTCTAGTTTAGAAAACCTGGGACTTGTGGCGCCTAAGAGGCAAGTTAGCTATATTAAATGCATTCGTTAAACCTTCCCACCTTGGCCTCCCTAGTAGCTGGGTCTACAGATGTGCACAACATGCTCAGCTAACATTTTAATTTTTTGTAGAGATGGGGTCTTGCTAGTTTGAATGCACCTCTACTGCATGCTGACCTAGCTCACTACTAGTGAAAGTTTCAACAGATTACCACCTCTTGTTAGAGGTTGCCAGATTGCCACCTACCAAAAAGTCCTCATTACCAGCTGGGTAGTGAAGAATCCAGTCCCTAAATCTCATCTTGATGCCTGTTTTCCTGAAGCTGTCTTGGTATCAGCTATTAGAAGTTGGGCTTTCTGCACAGCAAACATTTACACAAGGCAAAGTACAAAAGTTTATAGAAAAGTAGCACCTGTTAAAGGAGAAGGAAAGAAGCAGGATTGGGCAGGGGTAGCTGTCAGACAGCAGTGACAATCTGACAAAATTTCTGCCAGACCAACAGGGAACTCTGAAATAAAGGTTACTTGTTAGAGAAATCCACACTGAGTGGAAATAGCCAGATTCTTATATCATCACCTTGCTCAATCATTGGCTTGGGGACCACTGGGAGAAGAACACGTCCTTGGCTTGAAAGCTAAGGCAGGCCCTGACAAACCTATCAGGCGGTCAGGTTGTACTAAGCACGTCCTTTTTTTTTCCTGATGCTTTCACCCTGCAGCCTTGCTGACCCTGGAGGGACTGCCCCACCCAGGGCTAACTAAATCCTAAAGATAGCGAATGACTAAGGACCAGCCTTTCATATGCAAGTCAACCTTTCCCATCTGCCTTATGGAGCTCTTATACTCCAAGCCACTATTAGGGCCCTACCCTAATTACCCCAAGGCCAGGTATCATGTAACTAATGACAGACCCTACACCTGAGAGTCCCTGAAATTATTCAAACTATCCAACCCTAAGCCTGCTTACCTTGTCCCACCTGTTCCTTACCACAGAAACTACAATAAAGGCTCTTCCTTATAGTACCTCTTTCACCCCTTTCCTCCTGAGTGACCCTCGTGCTACCCTGAGTGGCATGGTATGCACCCTCCTCTTGGGAACTCTGAGTAACTATCCTTTCAGTGACAATCATCTCCTGATCGGTTAGCATCAGCATACCTAAATAAAAACCAAATCTACAATTAAAAGACAGATACTCATACTTTTTGCAGCTAAGCACCAAGCTTTGTTTTGAAGAAGAATCTGAAGGATATCTCCACATATGCTATAAGAGTGAATTTTGTAACAGCTGAAACATAGCTGCAGTACAGTAGAAAGCAGTGAAGTTTAATTCACTCACTCAATAATTCAAAAATTATTCAAATTATTTGAGTAATTTATATAAATTATTTAAATTATTAAATGAATGATTAACCCCATGCCAGGTAGGGTGACAATTTCTGAGAACATAGCCATCCTTTCTTTTGTGGACTACTCTATTGTCTACTGTGTAGACAAATTTCAAAAAAGTATGCTGAGGCGAGGCACAGGGGCTCACTCCTATAATCCCAGCACTTTGGGAGGCCAAGGCAGGAGGATCACTTGAGGCCAAAAGTTTAAGACCAACCTGGCAATCTACTAAGACCCCATCTCTACAAAAACCTAAAATATTAGCTGAGCATGGTTGGGCACACCTGTGGTCCCAGCTACTAGGGAGGCCAATGTGGGAAGATTGCTTGAGCCCAGGAGTTCAAGGCTCCAGTGAGCCACAATCATGCCAATGCACTGTAGCATAGGCAATGGAGTGAGACCCTGTCTCAAAACAAAATAAAACAAAAAAGTATACTGAGTGTTGTAATGAGTATAAGAGGAGAAGTAAACTGATGCTGGATCACCCTGCAGAGGAAGCAACCTACTCCAAAAGAAAAAGCCTGATTTGGGAACAAAGAAAAAAATTATTGAAAGAGATAGGAAAAGATAATCCAACATACGGGAACAGAAACGGAAGAGACAGACAGCATATTCAAGTAACTAAAAGAAATTCAATGGACAGAGTGTAGAGTATTAGAGGTATGGTGGGAATGAGCATGGAAGGTGGGCAAGGGCCAGATACTACAGGGCATTGCCACCCATGTTAAGGAGAACAGATTCTATCTTAAGTGTATGGGAAGCTACTGAAGAGTTTTTAAAAGAACAGTGACATAATTCAACTTGTAATCATCATTCTTGTAGCTGAGTAAACCAGAGTGGGAAAAGGATTAGAGACAGAAGGGCTAATCAGAGGCTGTGACAGTAATCAAGCTGATGATTACAGTGGCCTGGAGTCATGTGGTGGCAGTGGTGATGAGAAGGAAAGAAATTTGTTCAATAAATATTTATGTACATAGGACACCAAGAAAAGAGATGGAGTGAAGGATGACACCTTAGTCTGTTAGGTTTCTGGGGTTCAAAACTGGGTGAATGAGAGTGGACTTGTGGAAACAGGGAATACTGGAGAAGCAGGTTTAGAAAAAGAAAAGAAGAAGACGTGAATACAGAGCACGATGGAAAGATTAGCCTCCCAAAGGATGAGGCAACCTATTCTGCTATAACAGGAAGAATATGGGCAGATGGGTATGAATCTGTAGACAAGATAACAGGAAGTGCAGGGAGTGTCCATCTGAAGGCTTCTCTTTTGTTTCTCTAATAGTAGAAAGATAATTCATCTGTTGAAAGCAAGTGCAATGATTAAGGGATGGAAAATACATGTTGGGGAAGAGAAGAAAGATTTGAAATGGCTTTAATAAATGCCATGCTTGACGCTGACTAGGGAAACCCAGCTGTATTCCTAGGCAGTATGGAAGGGCCAGCTAAGACAAATAGTCATAACTTCATAATACAATCATTGTTAAAATAGATACTACATATGATAGTCTTCCGTATTTGTACTGTTCTGGTTATCAACCAAATAAAAGATCACTTAAAAGCCTTTGTGAATATACTAAATACTTTAATAACAGAGTTTATCAGCCAGACCCTCCAGTAGGGGAAATGATGTATGATGTTGCATATTAAAGGTATTATATTTATTTACTCTGAAAGCTTCTCCCAATGTGGAGAAAAATTACAAGAGTAAAATTTGTGAATGCATGTAGGAAAGTGAAAATTACTCTCCATATAAGAAAACAACTCTATGCATCTCAAAGGGAATTGAGGCAGAGAACTTAGGAGATGTGTAAAGGATGCACACCTCTTCCTTAGCAAGATTAAAGAATGCCTATAGTCAAGATGTTTCTTTGGCCTTCTATGGTTAAATGCAGGTAAAAAAAAAATTACTTGTGGAAAACAAGAAAATCACTGACTGTCAACGTGAAAGCCATCAGTTTGTAAGGAGTGTTGGATTTCTTAAACCATGTTTGTATGAGTGCTTTAGGAATAAGACTGATTTGTGGAAGCAAAGTAACATGCCAATCTAAGTAGGGGGCAATATTGTGGAAACATCCAGGACCAGTTTCAAATTGTATGAGTTCTCCACCCCTTAGCAATAATGACCCCCCCGCCAACACACACACACACACACACACAAACACACACACACACACACACACACACACACACACACAGCCTTGAGAACAAGTACACTGCAAACTACTGAACATGACATGTGCTTTACATTTATTAGTTCATTTGATTTGATTTGACCAAATTTACTTTTCGTAATTCTATGAGAATGGTATTTTAACTCAATTTTTACATGTAAAAAAACTCTGAGGCTCACAGAGATAAGTAACTTTTCCGGACCTTGCTAAGTAGTAAAGAGAAGAGTCAATATTTTATTTAAAGTGTATTCTAGCTCCAAATAGAACACTGCTTTCACTACATCATCCCTTCTGAATGGACAAATGCCTTTGAAACATGGTAGAATCTATTTGTACTTTTGCCTCCAACTTCCTGCAAGTCATAAGCCACAAAATTACATTTAGCCACACTTGCAAAATCCAATTATTACCCAGTTTTAAAGTTTACATTTATAATAAATATAAATACTTGTATTTAAATAACATTTATAGCTTTCACATGGTGAGCACATCCATTACCTTTCTTTTTCTATTTTTATAATAACTCTGTGAGGAGGGTCATGACAGACATATTGCCTAACACAGTCATATGACCGTGCTTTCCTGGACTTGATGACTAAACAAACTCCAAATTCAAAAAACACTACTGGCCCACACCTTCTTAGGTCATCTGCTTTTTGGTGGTTGTTTTTTTTCTGCTAATGTTGTTATGACTGTTCCATTGAATGATTCATACTTCCTTCTAAACCAACTGTGTTAATACACATTTGCAGAGAAATATATCCAGAGTTTAAGATTTCATGAGTCTCTTAGCCACACTCTCTCCCCCTCAGCAGGAAAAAGAACCAATCTTAATAGTTCTTACATTGCATACAGAAATATAAATGATCTCTGCTATGTCCCTGCAGACTCTTCCTGTCATTCCGTCTCAGTCTTGCTGCCTTTGTGGTTTTGCAGTCTTGCTGCCTCTGGTTTTGTGACTGTTCAACCAGAAGAATAAAATCAGCCTGTAACAGGAAGACAGAGGACTCATATTTTTTGCATAATGTGATTCTATGTTTCTCATTCATACAAATTCTTAAAAAGAGAATAGGTCAAGGCTTATCCTGCCACTCCCTGAGGATGTAAAGATGAAGAGTCAACATCTTTAAACTGGTCCCTGTTATGAACAATTCCTTTGCCTCACAAACCATAATTTCCTGCCCCACCTCCCTTTCTGTGTTGAGCTCATCTTGAGCATGCAGGAAGTCACTTTCAGACTGAATTCAATTTTCCCCATGCCTTTCCCCCAACTTAACCGCAAGTTCTGTTGTGAATAGTAATAGGGCACTGGGACCTGTGCTAATACATTAATTGCTGGACATCTACACAACATATGTTGAGTAAGTACCTACGTGGTAAAAAGGGCTTTGCTGCTGGGTATTCCAGGAAATAAAAAGACATACCAGAAAGAGCATGCATAATTAGAGAAAAGTTTCATAAACAAAAAAACAGAAAATAACCGTTTAAAAACTGGTTAGAATTATTAAAACAAAATTTTATAAGCCTTTAAAATATTTAAATTATTTGGCTCAATAAGCCTCTTCAGTTTAGTCTGAAGAAAATGTCAACTGTAGTATGACAAGGAAAGACTATATTTGTGAAGGTGGTCATTGAAGGAATCATCTACAATTAAAAAAAAAATCTAAATACTTCACATTAGATGATAACTTTGGTATTTTATGATGTTCATTCAATGTAATATGATCTACCTTTTAAAATGCAGCCATTAAAACTGCTAATAATTGATGAATTTTGGTACCATATTTGTGAGTTTTAAATTATATAAAAAATACAAAGTTATAAATATATAGCTACTAAAAATAAAAATTAGTAATAGTGATATATTTGTGAAATAACATTAAGTATAATAAGCATAACACAAAGTTACATACCATGATATAACTAACTATATTTAAAGGTACTTGAAGTTAACATGTAAAAATTAAAATTGGTTTGTTAAGGTAACTTTATTTTTTTTAACTTTTAAATATTATTATATATATAATATATATAGCTAAAAAAAAAAAAAAAACCCAATGGCAGAATGTCAGGCATGAGATACAGTATGTAAAAATATATTTTGGAAGGGTAGAGAATAACCACTTATTCTTGTCTCTGTTGTCTGGTTTGCACATTATATGAAAAATGTACAAGTAATTGAACATATCTGAAATTGCAGTACTGGAGTAAATTTATTAACCATTAGTTGTCAGTGCTTTACAAGATAAAGTCACAGAATTTTAGAATTGAAAGAGTCCTCTAAGACCTCCTGATTCAGTTTCCCATTTTCTTAGTAGGTACATGTGACTCATGAAGAAATAAGTAAATTTTTTCTCTTAAGCTACACAATTAGTTGGTGAAAAAGCTAAGACTACCATTCAAATTTTAACACCCAATATCATTATATTACAAGTTCCAATTCTTTAGCATTCATTATTTCTCACAAAATAATCCCAGCATAACCTTCCAAATTTATATCCTGCTTCTTTGCAACGTTAGACAGGAATGTCCCCTTTCCCCTCCACGGTATTCTTGCCTGCTTTCTTGAGCTCTCCATCCTTACCCTAACCGCCCACGCACTCACACTGCTGTCTTCTGTCTGCTCCTCTTCTAGCAGTAGTGTGTTAGCATACCTTTTTCAAATGATCATGTTTGGAAAAAGACAAAGTGGATTTTAGTTCCAACTATTCTGTTTGCTTGTCTTACTTTGTGCACCTACTCAATTACTGCTCCACATCTCCGTTTCATATATTATGAAAAAAGCAGTATTTAATCATAGGGATGAGGTAATTCAGAAGTAGTGCCCATTAATGTATGGAAAGTATATTCTGATAGTTCTTGCCTGGATGTGGTAAGGAATGAGATGTATGACAATATGATAACATGAGCAAAAAATGTCAAATCCTCTTGAACTAAAAGTCACTTTACAATTGTGACAAAAGTAGTAGTCTGTGACAAAAGTAGTCACAGACTTTCACAAAATATCTGTCAACTGTAATTGTGTTTAATCTCAATTTACCAGAATAAATACATTTCTTACTAATTTGTGAAATTCTGTCTGTTTCTAATTATGTTCCACAAGTCATACTATTGGTTTAAGTTGATTCTCTCAAACTTGTTTAACAAGTTAGATTCTAATTACATGAGATTTCCTCCTTTGTCCTCAACTATAGATCACACGTAATACATGACAGTCATTTGAGTGGGAATCTCAAAGCAGTTGAGTAGGCAGAAAAAAGAACCTCTTCACTAAGGATTAAAATGTATAGGTAAGTCCTTTGTAGCTTTAAATGTTTTACGATATCTTACAGTATGTGAAAAATGTAAAGAAGCTTAGGAAATTTTGACTATGTCTAGCAAACCTCTAGTTACTTCTCTGAAAACTTCGTTGAAACTCTTAGATATTGTTTAGATAATATGCTTGATATTATTTCCATAAGGTACATAGTTGCTTAACTGAATTTTTAATAAAACTAATAACCCCAAAAATACTGCTTAGCATTATAACAACCTATCTTTAAACAAGGAAGTGGTTCTGTTTCTCATGTGTAACATTTCAAAAAGTGGTATGTGGATTTTAAAAGTATAACTAGGAAATAATTCTTCTGTTGTTTAGAACTTTTTGAGGGTTCTGTATTTTGACTTCCATTAGAGTTTTATTGCTAGCTATTAAATAAATATGCCATGAATCCTAAAGTACACTTTTTAGAAAGTAAGCATGGTATTTTTCTACTTTTTATATAGTTGTGGAATTATTTTCAAGAAAGTTCTTGCTAGTGTTTAAAAAAAATAATGTCTCTCTGGTTTTCTTTTTAGTTAATGAATAATTGTCTTCATATAATTTCACATAAAAAAGCAAAAAGTTGTGGGCTAATCAACTCACATGTTAAAAATCTCAAAACAATGAAAAAATTATATAACTTCATGTGTTTATGTGTGCCCTTGAGTGTATATGTTATGCATATTATTTTTCCATGAAAATGGAAAAACATGATACTGATTAGTTATATTGAAAAGATCAACAAAAGCATGAACAATGTGTTGGCTATGATAAGAGCAGTTGTATTTATTTTAAATCTCTTGAACATTGGAAAATTCAATCAAAAGTCAAACCCTTTTAAATAATAAAAATAAATAGACAATTATGTGCACTTGAATATGAGTAAAAAGTGGATAGTTGTCTAAGCTTCCAATGACAGAAGAAATAAAATTATTTTATATTCATATAATAGATATAAGAAATTTATTTAAGTAGGTTAAAAACCTATGACCTAATTTACATACTGAGTTTGTTCTCATTTTTTGTAAAAAAAATATCACAAAATTGTATTTACTCATCAACTACTACTTTGTAAAGCTACATGGTAGAAAGTCTAATACAGAACATAGAACATAATCAGGTTTATTGTATTAAAGCAGTGAATTTATGCATTATATTTTTTATTATTCTTAAACTATAATAGTCTAATATTGTTTGAGTAATATAGTGCAATTTAAAATGTATTTTGCTAAACATTTTAATTTTAAAGAAATTGCTGTGATTTTAAAATGTTGCCCTTATAAGCAGCCAAATGTATATCAAAACATCATTCAATGGAAAATAATAAAAGAAGACATGTAAATAATATAAATATTGAAAGAGTTGTACAATTTTGGAACGCTATGGATTAATCAAATTTCTAAGTTGATCCATCATTGTACAGGAAGTTTGACAATCAGAGCCAACCTTGCCAATTACAAAGAACTCTTCTGTGGAATTTTGGTTTCTAAGGATCACACTTTTTGGAGTATTTTGTTTCTTAAGCAGTCTATATCTACTACTAATGTATAGTAGCTGGGTGTCCACATCCTGTAACGGAAGGAAAATGAAATTGTACAATATATATTTTTAGGTAATTCTAGGGAATTTTGACATAATTTTAGATAAATCTTCAGGTAAATTCTGAAATAATTTGGTTGAAAATGGGCTGTCGCGGATGATTGGATTGCTTTTTTTATAAAATTTAAATTCCCAGCTCTCTTCCAAGCTGCTGCAAGGTGAAATGCTCCTTTCTTTACCTACCTTGTTGTACCCTTCCCTGAAGAAGGAAATTCTACCATAGGGCGCAAGAACACGAACAGCTGTGTTAACTCATTTCAGATCCTTGGTCATTCTCAGGTTCACCAAGGGAATATCTATGACAACCAGATTACATAAAAAGTATGAGATGAGGCTTGGAAAACAGGTTAAAGATTTATAAACTGGAATTCACAATGTGGTTTATGGAAAGATTTAAGGTAAATAAGCATATCTCAGCTCAGGGACAGACAAGTCTTAGCAGGACTCTTCCTACAAAACAAATCTTATTTCCATTTTCTTCCCTTTTGTCTGTGTTCAAGACATGATTAGCTGACTGCAGAGACATGCCAAAGACAATCAGATGTCCTGCTTCCCAACAGCAAAAGAACATGAGTCAAAATTCGGGGGAGAAAAGCCATTGCTATCAAAAATGCATTCCAAATTATGCCTGTTGTTTCAATCCTGGTTTTTGAACTGCTATGACAACTTAGAAAAATATGCTTAAAATTGTAAATCACTAGGCAAAAGATATATTTCTTCATAGAAATTAGGCAGGTGGACACCAGTTTGTCTTTACAGTCATGAAACACAAAATACTGCATTTAAAGTACAAGTTTTTGCCTACGGAATCTTGGGCCACATGTTAAAACAGCTGCTGAATTGTCCAAAATGTTTTTCTAATGACAGTGTGGGATCAATCCACATACAGGCAGATCAGCTGTAGTCAGTCATCTGGGATTATATATTTTCTAGAAAATTATCCCATGCCACTTCCAATTTGTCCTCCAGAAGGCACTCCCAATCTATTTTCTCAGAAATTCATAACTTACCTAATTCTTATGCTACTGCAACTCCCAAATAGCTATGGCATCCCTAAAATAATTCATGAGAAAGGAAGACAATATGTACTGTTATAAGAGAACCTGAAGTTATCCAATCCCATTTCTTAAAAGGTATTGTTTCAACTTGAAGGATCCCATTCCTTTGAGTAAAGAAGACTTGGTATGATTTCACAGTTTTGGGGAGTATTCTTTGTCCAGCTTTAGTATATGCTCATGACATGTAAAATAAAAGCATCATCCCAAGTCTAAAGTCATTAATTGGATAACTGCCTATGATAGTTGTAAATAAAAGGGACTTTAGAAAAGTTTATGCTGATGAGTCATTCAGCAGAAACACAAAGCAGATTCTATGAAATATTTACAGTATCTGTTTGCCAGAGGTTTGAACAAGTGTATCAATGATTAATAAAATAATATATGCACTCAGTGTTCAAGGTAGTGGGGCAAAAAAATCATTGATGGGCATGGTGGTACATGCCTGTATTCCCTGAAGGCTGAGATAGGAGGATCACTTGAGTCCAGAAGTTCAGTGTTGCAGTGAGCTATGATTGTGCCACTGCACTCCATCTGGGTGACAGAACAAAAACCTGTCTCAAAAAAAGATTAGAAATTATAAATAAATGAATAAAAGCCACTGAGTCTATTTTTTCTAAACCAGTCAAGCTTTTATTCTGATAAGCTTACTTTTTAGCCAAGATATCCACATGAGTTTAATAGTATAAGAATAAATTAAGATGTAGCGTTTCCTTCTCTGCTGAATATTTCTGTCAGCATAAAGGCATGCCACACTATCTCCCATTAAAAAAGAAATCCCTCCCTTGACGCATATCCCCTGTCCAGCTATTGCCTCATTTCTCATCTCTTGCTCTTAAAAACAAAACTATTTTAAAGATCTGTCTAGACTTATTACTTCTATTTTTATTTTCTTCCTCCATTAACTTTGTTTTGCTTTTTTATTATTAAGCATATCATATAAAGCCTAATTTTAAAAAATGAACCTTATAGCATCCCCAGTACCTTAGAAGACCCTATGGGCACCTCTGTCCACTAACTGACCTTTCCCCACTTTTCACAGTGTAACTGTTATATGGCATTGTATCTTCATTTCCTTCATTTTCTTCATGGTTTTACCATCATGGATATATTCCCCCAAAAAAATACAGTTTAATTTTACCTGCCTTTGAAATTTGTATAAATGAGATCAATATTATATATGTTACAGACAATAAAGTAAGCATAGCTTATTCATGTTCACAGCTATATAATATTTCAAAGTAAGACTGTCCCATAACTTATATATCCACTTTTCTAGTATATTACTATTACAGATGATATAGCACTGAATATTCTTTCACAGGTCCAATGGTACAAATATGCAAGAGTTTCTCTTGGGTATGCTCCTAGAAATAGATTTTCTGAGTCACACAGTGTATGCATTTTTATCTTTAATCTATTCTCTCTTTTCCCAATGCAAATAGTTTCTGCTCGTCACAGCTTTGAAATAGCTCTTGTCTTGCTCCACATCGCAAAATCCAGGGGTCAGATCTCAGTGTGTTTACATAATTACTCCATCAAAGACCATTCTTTTCTTGAAACATGATCTTCACAAAGCTTCCCAAACACGATTCTTTCCTGTTTTTTTTGCCTACTCCATGGGTCAAACTTTCTGAGTTTCTGTAACTAGATTCTACTCATTTCTCTGTCCCCCAGATTTTGAGTGCTTTTCTTCTGTAGCCCCACTTACATTCTGTGTGACTCCATCAGGCTAATGGTTTTCAATATTACATAAGCTAATGATTCCCTAGGACAGATAATGATCCCTGAAGTCCACTATCATTCACTGGAAAACACAAAATGCTCTTACTTCAAAGCAACTTTTAATATCATATGGTAAAATAAACCATTTTGAATCCTACATACCCTAGTGTTTTATTTATACTTATACATCTTTTATGATATATGTAATTATGCCTTATATTATGCTTTATTCATTCATTCATCTATTGAGTGTCTAATCTGAGTGAAGAGCTGTTATGTGCTAGTTATACAGAACAGGAATAAAAAAAGCCCAGACTTTGTTCTCATGGTACTCACTGGGAAGACAGACACCAAAAAACATTAAACAAGCAAATATCTATCTAATTAAAGTTGCGGTGGTGCTATGAAGAAAAGTTTAAGAACTTTGGGTAATTAAGATAAATGGAAACTGTCACTGAAAACATTTATTCTGTTGAAATTTCAGCAGAGCAAACCGAAGTCTTTACTTAAAACCACAAACTTTCCTACCCAAAAGGCAACTGTCCTAGAGATTAACATAAGACTATGTAATTTCATTATGATTTGTTTAACATGATGATACTGAAATAAG